ATTCGAGGTGGTTCGCAAAAGAGGTTTCCTGGCGAGGGGCGCCAAGGACCTCCAGAGCGCAGGCAAGCTTCAGGCGTGAGATATCGAGGAGCGCCAAGGATCACCAGAACGAGGATCTAGAGGAGCGCCAAGGGTCATCAGCATCATCATCATCATCATCATCATCATCATCATCATCATCATCATCAGCATCGTCAGCATCATCAGCATCATCAGCATCATCAGCATCATCAGCATCTTCCGATTTGCCTGGTCCTGAACTTTCTCATCCCCAGGGGTTGAATATCAGGGGCAGTTGGTTACTTGCCCCAGGCCGGTCAGGGCATGGACCTGTTCAACGTGGCCCTGGACGATTTCAAGGGAATACAGCGTCTCAGCGCAGCTCTGCGCCGGGAGGGTAGGCACATGATGGTGAAACCGGTGTTTGGCAATGTACATGGAACATTGCATACTACTCGGCCACATCAAGTGCGAGAGACAAGGGACGCTCGATGCTCCGCCGAAACTGGGCGCCCTCACACGTGCCATCTTCGTTCACGTCTTGCCGAAGTGGGTGGAGCAGGGCTTTTGGGGTCTTTCTGAAATTGTGATAGGCGAGCGGTTTGCACAATTTTGTTGGGCAGACGAGTACTTCCTTTTCGCAAACACCGAAGAATCCCAGCATACTATGATGCAAGATCTGATCATGGCTGATTTCTGGGTGTGTTGGGAACCAAAGAGCTTCGCGCAGTTGACACTAGACAGGCGCGCCTCGTCCAAGATGGACGCGGTCGCCACGTATCCTCCAAAGCAGCCAGTCCAGCCGCCATAGGGGGCATCATGGTTTTCCATGGCTGCACGGCACAGCTCGGCGTCGACATCGCAGACGGCGGTAATATTGGCGTGGCCCTCTCACGCACACGCCGGCTTGCCAAGGCAACGAATACGGTCGGACCGAAGCATGAGACCGAGGTCGGCGCGGGGAGGGTACCGTAAGGTTCTTCGTGTCGGTTGGATGGTCTCGTGCATCCTGGGGGGATACCTTAGAATGTCCTTCAATTTGGCCGGCGGAGAGTCTCATGTTCGCGAAGGGTGCTCTTCTGTCGTAGGTCCGATCGTTATGCTCTGGGCATGAACAGGCTTTCGCTTGCCGGGGCCTTGTTCGGCATGGATTGTTCCGCAGAGGCGCGAAGAGCGTTCTTGCCTGCTTCCTATGCGGTGCCGACGGGCGGGCTCTGAACAAAGATGTGCCCCAGCGGCTCCAGGAATTCGAGGGCGGCATGCTGCGACATGCGGGGGACGCTTCGCCAGAAGGACAACACACACACATTCACACTCGCACTTACACTCACATTTGCACTTGCACTTACACTTACACACGCATGGGAGACGTACATGAAGCGCGCCGCGAGCCGCAAGGAAGATGCACCGGTCTTTGGGTTCCAGGTCCACCGTGGAGATCGTGGTCGAAAAGGTGCATCGGCTGGCGGGTCACGTATTTAACCATGCTTGCGCGCAGTCCCCTGAGGGCCGCGTGGTGGCGCAACGCTGGGTCAGCGCAGCGCCGCGCGTTGCAATTTCACAGAGGCTGAGAGGCAGGAGACGCAAGCGGTCGGCACCATCGTTGATAAAAAGGAATTCCATTCGCGAAGCGGACCTGGCTTCAGTGGAGACAGGCCCAGATGGAAACGCAGAGCCACGAGGGAAGATCCTGTGACCAAAGGACGCGCTGCAACATGGCGCAGCCAGGCGCGGAACGCAACAAATTGGAAGTCCACCGCGGAGTCGTTCGTCTGCCAGGTATTCGGCGCTTGGAATTTCAACGGCTCTTTTCTCCTATCCGAGCGCACGAAGGCCAAGAAAATGGGCGGATGTTGATGCAGTTCCGAGGGCACGTTAATGTGTCTATGTCGAAGCGGAATTGCATTGGCGCCAGCATTACGGGCCTGGCGTGATCGTGGATTTTTCTGCCGACAACGCAACGGTCGTAGGCAGGATCGACGGTTCTATGGCCGCGCGTGCTTCGCATTATGTAGCCAGGGCGAAGGCCTTCCAATCCTTCCTGCACAGTACGTGGAAGTATGACACCCCTTGTCCGTGCGAAGTTGGTGCGCCTTGGTTTAGGCGCGCGCTCTGGAAGAAAAGCGACATATTCAGGAGTTCGCCTGCACCTTCCGAGTCGCAGCACGTGAGTTTGTATCCCTCGGGGTCTTTAGTAAATGTGGGTTGCCAAGGGCAACTGGCGAGCGTTGGCTGAAACATCGACGGCTATGACTTTCACCGGCAGGAATGGCGATGTCTTCGACGAGGGGGCATTTTTACCCAGGGGCGATTGTGATGGATGCTGAAGCACGCGCAGCCGAAGCTCTGCTGGAGCAAACTCAATTTTCCAGCGCAGACGTCTCGAGCGCGCACGGGCGCAGCGCACAGCGACTGACGTTTTCCAGCCGTTCGCTGCCCTCGAGGAAATCTTTCCCTGGATCGGGAAGTTGCCCGCTTTTGTCGCTGGGACGCGCAATATGTGCCCCACGGACAACCACGCCTTTCAGGATCACCTGATGTCGTGGCGGACATGCAAACGTAGCGCCACCACCATCATCATCGCCATCACCACCACCATCATCGCCGTCACCACCATCATCGCCATGACCACCATCATCGTCGTTATTGTCATCGTCGTCATCATTATAACCACCATCACCACCTCCATCATCGTCACCATCATAATCATCGTTATCGTCATCATTATCATCACTATCACCACCATCACCATCATCATCACCAGTATCATCATCGTCATCGTCATCGTCACCATCATCATCATCATCACCATCACCATCATCATCATCATCATCATCATCATCATCATCATCATCATCGCCATCACCGTCTCCTCCCACTCCTTCCCCTCCCTTCAGCGGCCAGCCGGACCCGCCGTGCGCTCGGCACGGGTGCGCGGTAGCCCCCACGTTTTTCTGCACGATCCCGCAGCTCCGCCAGGCGCATGCGCTCGCGAAGGGGCTCCGGCTCGGTGGCCCTCTTTCGATCGCTGGCGATCGTCTGGGCCCCACAGGGCCGCGAGGCTGGCGCAGTCGCCCGCGGGATTTTCGGAAACACCTCGTTGCCTGTGTCATCCTCTTCCTCGGCAGCTTCCCTCGTCTCCTGCCCTCGATCCTCCTCCTCCGTGTCGGCCTTACCCTCCTCCGCCCCCCCATCCGCCATTGTTCCATCTTCCTCATTCCACCTTCCCCCTGCGTCCCTGCGTCCCTCCCTGTATTGTCCTTCATACGTAGGTTCTGCTAAGCTGCTATGCATATATACACATGTTTTCTTACCCCTCTCCTTTGCCATCCGTTCGAATTCATCATTTCCTATATCCCGTATCCGAAGTATGAGGTGATTGTTAATCGTGTGATGTCTCCACCTCTGCCCTTCCCTTCCTTCAGCCTTCCCGCCGTCATCATTCACAGCGTACTCACATATGCTGCACGTGCTTTAAACCACTTGCATTGGGATTCATATCATTCGCAATTTGTTCGTATTCAAACGCGCTCACGCGCAGACTCAGTAATATACAGATCTAGTAGTATTCAGTCCTACTTACACTTAGGCGCTCATATCCATACGCACCCGCTCATACTCATTCATACTGCCACTCGCACGTTGGTGCTTACACTTAGAGTACTTCGGAGCTGTTCAGACTCGGTCATGTTCATACTCGCTCACTTCCGACTCACTCGTACTCAGACGCACTCTCACTAAGACCAGATCGTTCCCAGAGACGCTCATATTCAGTCCTCGATGTTCATACTCACTCCCGCCCAGACCTCATACGCAGCCATTGATACCCAGACCCGCTCACGCTGAGACGCACATGATACTCAGACACTCGGGAATTAAAGCGCAAGGACATACATGCACACCTCGGGAGACCTGCGTCGAATAGTTGTGTTGTCCTCTGTCCTTCTTTTCCGTGCACCTTCCAGTGTTTCTTTCGTTCTCTTCCTTTGGCATCCTTATCATCGTTCCTTTGCCGCACGTGTGAGGGGATGGGGAGGGGACGGGGCGGGACGGAAGGGGAGGGAAGGAGGGAGAGCAGGACGTAGAAGGACGGACAGCCTGCGAGGCAGAGCGGGAGGTGCTTTCCAGGCCAACGGGACTTGCCAGGCCAACGGGAGCTTGTCTCCCCGTTCCGTTGGTCCTGAGTGTCGGCGCCGGGATGTCGCTTCAGTTGCTCGGGGGGCGCAGGCGTGCTGTATAGAGTTCATGCTTTCTTTGGTGGCCCAAAGTCGTGTGTGGGATTTTGAGGGCACACGCGCATCACCGCCACACTGTGCGGCTCCCACGGGGGGGGCCCAGACCGCGCAGTGGTTCCAGACTTGCCCGCTGGTCGAGTCGATCCGACTTCGCGGAGGGGGAAGGGGGAGCCGAGAGGGAAGGGAAGGTGGCGGTCGGGGGGCTCGCTCCTTGTCCACGCTCCTCCACGCTTCTTCTCCTTTTCCTCCTCTTCTTCCTTCTCTTTCTTCCGTCGCCGTTTTGGTTCAATATGTGGAATTCATCAGGGGACAAAGTGGATACCACTAGTCCGCGGCCAGCAAGACTCCTGTCGGATACTCTCTCCAAACATTGTGACATTGTGAGCTCCTGGTGGGGCCTACCTCCATATCTTGTGCGTCGCATTCAGCGGCGTACTTCCATATTCAAGCCGAGTGTCGGACTCATGCAATGCAGAACAATGGTAACGGCAGTGGTCTTGGCTCCCCTGGTGCACTGATGCAGAACACAAATCGTTTTATATCGCCTCGACGACGAGAAGCGGTTCCCCATGCTGGTTGATCTCCCCGTGGCGCCAACGGCCGCTCGCCGCGCGGAAATGGTCCCGTACAACGTGCTGACCCGTGGCAAAGAAACATCAGTGGCAGCAGTGACAGCGTTGTAAGCGGAGGTCCCGCTCGCAATTCAGATGGTTCCAGATCGGGGCCGCCACACACGACGACTGCACGGGCCGCATCCGCATCGAGATGGAAGCGATGGTTGCCAAGCAGATGCGCGCATCCATCTCGAAGCTTAAGCACGACCTCATCACCGCCGTCGCGAAGGTTGGACCAGGAGGGCTCGCCGGGCACGTGCAGAAGCATCAACATAAGTTTACGCAGATCGAAGGTGACGCGGCAGAGATGCGGGATACTGTGCAACACAAAGCAAGCAGCAGGAGGGCCCGCGTTCGTCGACGGTTCGGCGTTCAGTGCGGAGCAGTGTTCGTGTGGGCGAGCGGCCTAGTTGCACTGCAAGTAGACTGCGAAGGCAACTTCGTTGCCTGCATGCATGGGGTGATGCCGAAGTCTTGGGGGCCGGGCCAGTGGGCGCGGGACGGAGAGGATTTCGCGTCTCACATGCTGGCCAGGTTTTCAGAGCACTTTGCTGACGGCATTTCAGGCGTGGCTCTAGAAGTATATAGTGGCTGCGCTAGATCGGTCAGTTGTGATCGGCGTTGACCAGAGATCTCGGCCCTACTCTGAGTACCTCAATAGTTCTGGTCCCCCGGACTACAGGGGCCCCCCGGCTTTCAAGGGCCCCTCCCCCGGACTACAAGGGCCCCCCCCCGGACTACAGGGACCCCCCCCCGGACTACCAGGACCCCCCCCCGGACTACAAGGGCCCCCCCCCCGGACTACAGGAACCCACCCCCGGACTACAATGACCCGCCACTTGCCGCCACGCGTGCAACTGTGGCCACTTTGCCTGGCCCTCTGCATTGCCAGGCGCGCATCTCCGCGGTCGTCGAGCGGGACGTCGCCCCGCGAAGATCACACCGCCCCTCCCCCCCCCCCCCGGGCTACAGGGACCCCCCCCCGGACTTCAAGGGCCCCCCCCCCCGGACTACAAGGGCCCCCCCCGGACTACAAGGGCCCCCAAAAAACCCACCCCGGACTACAGGGGCCCAACCCCCGGACTACAGGGGCCGCCCCCGGACTATTGCGCACCCCAGAACTATTGAGGTACTCAGAGTAGGAATGAGCGCAGGCGCTTGTGGAAGCTCTGGTGGGAGAAGGCGGCGGACTCCTTCAGGATTTTCAAGGTCAAGGCCCAAAGGGGGCTCCCCGAGGTCACCTCCCTGGGCGACCTCTGAATGCCCCAGGGCAACCAGCTGGTCTACAAGTGGGCCAAGGCTGGCGCTAAGCTGCGGGAGGCCCCATCCGAGCAAGAGATTGTTGCGGAAGCCTGCGAGCGCGGGGCCGAAGACGAATCCCCGTGGCTTGACATGCTTCACGATTGGCTGCACGCTGCCGGCTTCCAAGATTCACATGGAGTCGGAGGCGCGGCCGATCAGCGAATTGACCTTGACTTTGACGCTTCTCAGCTCGAGGCCGAGGGGGCGGAGTCGCGGGAGAAACACTGCGAACGCAGGGGGGGCGTTCCGCCTGAGATGCGCTCTGCAGGAGCGGCGCCTGCAGCTTCCACGGTGGGCGACTCGCCCGTCGGGGCCGATGACCGCCTCCAGCCGTGGCCCTTCCAGGGGCGCGAGGTTGTGCGTGCGTCTGCGCGCGGGCTCGCCCTCGGACCGCCAGGCTTATTTTGCACGGGGTGCGGTGCCAATGTGCAGAAGTCACATGCCTGGGCCAGGCCGTTTGCAAAGGTGACGCCCACCCTTTGTCTTGCCACCCACTCCGAGGAGCAGGCTTCGAAGAGGCATGCATCCCGATTCGACGCGTTCCCCACCCCCCAAGCTTGAGTCGGTCGTCCCCCCGTCGTTGGAGGTCCGAGCTCTGTGGGTGGGGAAACTGCGTGTCTCCCGTGGTTCGGGCCCCGAGGCCGAAGGTGGCTCCTACGGGCTCGAGGTGCCCGAACCCGTGCACACGTTTAGAGTTGCACTAGGAGCGTAGCAAGGTGGAGGGCTTCGAGCAGGCCGATGGGGTCTTGAGGCTCCCCCAGGCTGCCGCTGGTGCTACACTGGCAATCGTTGTGTATACGTGCGACAAGTCGGCGATGCCTGTCTTGTCATAGATGGCGCTGTGTTTTGCCGTCGATTGCAAGGTCCGGCGATACGATATATTTGCATTATACAAGGTTTGCCAGCTTCCCCCAGACTTATTGAAGCTAAGCTGGCCGATGTCCATTCACTCCGCTCGTGAGGAAAAGCGGCCCCCCCCCCCTCAATCGTCAGCTGCAGCGCAGTTGCAGCATAGCGGCTTTATTATTATGCGATTGAAGGGGTGTGGTGCCCTCGGCTTCATGCGCCCTCAGAGACAGCCAACTCGCATGGCTCCCTAACCCGATGGCTCCGCAGACTCCCGAGTCCGCCTTTCTGGCAGCAGCAGAGCATTTTTGAGATGTACTCCTCGACGGCTGGTGGCCGCCCCACTCGGATCTCTTCTCGTAGAAAGATGTGAGCCATCGTGGATCTTGAACAGTGTGCCTCTAGCATGCCGAGCAATAGTTGTGGAGCACTGTATGTGGTGCAATAGGCGTTGTGCAATCAAACACTTGCTCAACTTGAAGCTGTCCTCTCCACTGCTCGTGCAACCATCCCACTCTCCCACCCGCAACTCGGTCGCAAGACCTCTTAAGACCGTGACGGCGGGTACCAAATGGCACTTGGCAACGACACCGACGCCGACGACGACAGCGACAACGACGACGACGACGCCGCCGACAACGACTACGACGACACCGACGACGTCTCCAACGACCTCGACGATGACGACAACGACGACGTCGACATCGACGACGACGCCGACGACGACGACGATGACAACGCCGACGACGACGACGACGACGAGGACGCCGACGACGACGACGACGCTGACGACGACGACGAAGACCACGACGACTACGACGACGACGTCGCCAACGAAGACGACGACGACGACGAGGGAGGAGGGAGGACGACGACGGCGGCAACGACGACAACGACGAGGGAGGAGGGAGGACGGCGACGACGCGAACGACGAAGAAGGAGGGAGGACGGCGATGCCGACGACGACAACGACGAGGTAGGAGGGACGACGACGACGACGACGACGGCGACGAAATAGGAGTGACGACGACGAAACGCCGACGAAGACGACGAGGGAGGAGGAACGACCACGGCGACAACGACGACGGAAATGACGACGACGCCAAGACGACGACGACGAGGAAAGGCAGAGGACGACGACGGCGACGACGACGACGACGACGACGAGGGAGGAGGGAGGACGGCGACGACGACGGCGACGCAAGAGCGCGCGCGCATGCTTTTGTTGAAAATACGTTGCGAAACCCTTTGTTTGGTATGTGTTTGGACACTCGATTTTGAAATCCTTCCGAAACTGCAGGTTTTGTAAAGGATTTCGGCATGCGCGCGCGACGACGCGCGCGCACACTTCGTCTAAATTTTTGCAGAGGATTCTCGCGACGGCACGCGCGCAATGGCGTTCGAAAGATTTCGACATGCGCGCGCGAAGCTCGTTTGGTAGTATGTTTTGAACATGTTGAAAACACGATTGTTTTCTTAAGATTTCGCAATAGCGCGCACGTAAGCTTGTTTAGAACATCCGTGTTGCGAAGCCCTGTGTTTTTGTATGTGTTTTGGAAACTCGACTTTGAAATCATTCCGAAACCGAAGGTGTTTGAAGGATTCCGGCATGCGCGCGCGACGACGCGCGCGTGTGCACTTCGTCCTTTTTTTTGCAAGGGATTTTTGAATATTTATGATTCCCCATATCCTAAGATGGGGTTCTTGTTATTTCTTGGACGCCGCCGTCTCCAGAGAACAAGAACACACCCAGAACACAGACTTACTCATACACAGATCTACTCATATTCAGACTTACTCATACGCAGACGTATTCATACACATATTTACTCATACCCAGACTTACTCATACACAGAGTTACTCATGCACAGTCTTACTCATACTCAGACATACTCATACTCAGACCTACTCATACTCAGACTTACTCATACCCAGACGTACACCTACACAGGCTTACTCATCCACAGACTTACTCATACTCAGACTTTTCATACCCAGACATACTCATACACAGACGTACTCTTATTCAGACCTACACATACTCAGACCTTCTCATAGTTTGAGTTATTCAACACACGGCAGATTTTGAGGATGTCTGAGGCGGGGCGCTGGTTTCAGCACTCCTAAGGGGAGCCGCCAGGGGTGTTCTCACGGGCCCGTTCGCGGCCAGTTTGTGGGGATGTCTCAGGCGGTTTGCTCGTTTTCATGCCTAGCATCCTTTGCTTTCCGAGCAGATTGTGAGGATGTCTCAGGCGGGGCGCTGGTTTCAGTTCCCCCAAGTGGAGCCGCCAGGGGTGTTTTCATGGGCCCGTTCGCGGCCAGTTTGCGGGGATGTCTCAAGCGGTTTGCTCGTTGTCACGCCCAACATCCTTTGCTTTCAGAGCATACTGTGAGGATGTCTCAAGCGGGGCGCTGGTTTCAGCACCCCTAAGGGGAGCCGCCAGGGGTGTTCTCACGGGCCCGTTCGCGGCCAGTTTGCGGGGATGTCTCAAGCGGTTTGCTCGTTGTCATGCCCAACATCTTTTGTTGTCATAGCAAATTGTGGGGATGCCTCAAGCGGGGCGCTGGTTTCAGCACCCTTACAGGGAGCCGCCAGGGGTATTCTCACCGGCCCGTTCGCGGCCAGTTTGTGGGGATGTCTCAGGCGGTTTGCTCGTTTTCATGCCCAACATCCTTTGCTTTCAGGGCAGATTGTGAGGATGTCTCAGGCGGGGCGCTGGTTTCAGCACCCCCAAGGGGAACCGCCAGGGGTGTTCTCACGGGCCCGTTCGCGGCCAGTTTGTGGGGATGTCTCAGGCGGCTTGCTCGTTTTCATGCCCAACATCATTTACTTCCAGAGCAGATTGTGGGGATGTCTCAGGCGTGGCGCTGGTTTCAGCACCCCCAAGGGGAGCCGCCAGGGGTGTTTTCACGGGCCCGTTCGCGGCCAGTTTGTAGGGAAGTCTCAGGCGGTTTGCTCGTTTTCATGCCCAACATCCTTTGCTTTTAGGGCATATTGTGAGGATGTCTCAGGCGGGGCGCTGGTTTCAGCACCCCTAAAGGGAGCCGCCAGGAGTGTTCTCACGGGCCCGTTCGCGGCCAGTTTGTGGGGGTGTCTCATGCGGTTTGCTTGTTTTCATGCCCGACATCCTTGGCTTTCAGAGCAGATTTGAGGATGCGTCTCAGGCTGGGCGCTGGTTTCAGCACCCCTAAAAAGGAGCCGCCAGGGGGTAGGACACGGGCCCGTTCGCGGCCAGTTTTCGTGGATGTCTCAGGCGGCTTGTTCGTCTCATGCCCAACATCCTTGGCTTGACGTCGCTTGACATAAAACATGGCAAGAGACAAAACATGGCATGGCACCCTCATCTCAGACGCTCACTACTGCATGACATAACACATGAGATGCACATATGGGGAGTTCCACGCAGTGAGTAATTTTTGATAGACGACTGTGCGCGCATAGGCTTTTTTGCAGAGCATGGCGGGGGGAACCGATACCGGCTCGGCTAGGATATATGAATTCGCAGGTCGGATGGACAATCGGTCAGAGTCCGATGTGTTCTACATAGGTTCCCGGGGGATCTTTTACCCCGGGGGGGAGGGAGGTACTTATTTTTTTAAGAACGGAGAATATATGTTATGCAACCGATGTTGTGCAGCAGAGGTGGTGCGATGCTGGAACGAGGGATGATAGCATGCGCGACAAGAGTGGGCATGTAAACGCATGCTACCTCCCTCAATGGAAGAAGAAACATGAAGAGACGCGATGATGGGGCAGCGAGGGGGAGCGAGGGGGAGGAGAAGGAGGGGGATGAAGAGAGGGGGAGGGAGAGGAGGACACTTTCTGAAGCCTCGTGCTTGCCACTTTGGTTGCCGCGCACGGGACCCGATTTGCCATAACTGGCAGTTTCCCCATCTCACGCACTTCACCGCCTTCCCCCGCGCCTTCCCGAATCCTCGACTACTCGTTTTGCGGGGACCCGACTTCGAGTAGGACCATGCCTCCCCTGACGATGCTCGCCCAGCGGTCATACGCAGGATGATCATCGTATTCCATCTTCTCCACACTGGACATTCGAGATGGACTCCTTGCCAAAGCGTCAAAGAGAACGGGGCTCTTGCGACTTTGCTCACAGATGCCTGCTGGCGGCACGCCAATGCGCCGTACAATGAACTGTGGGTGGACTAATGTGGGGCGGGTGAAGCATGTGGGCGTGGCGCTCATGTCAGAAATTGTCCTGGCAAATCCGTGCTCCAGCCCTCGGCCGTTGAACACCAGCACGCCGCTCCTTCATATTCGGTCGGGCCTCATTCTGCACGGTCAACTGCTCGATCATGGCGAGGCCCCTCCTCTTGTAAAGATGGTGCGTTGGCCTCTCCTCGGATGGATCGGTTCGCCTCAGGTTACGTCTTCTCTTTCTCCTCTCCACGCTTCTCCATTCCCCCCCCCTCCTCGCCTCCGTGTTACCCTCCCCCGCCGGATGGAAATTTTAGCCGCATCACCCCCCCACCGGCAGCCTTCTTGCTGAGGAGCTTTCGTGGATCGCACATCCTGGTCCCTCCTCCTCCTCCGCCTCCTCCTCCCGGAGCATACTCGATCCTCGCCTGCTGGCCTTCTCGCCGCAGCTTGGGCCTCGGGCGGCCGTTCGGGGCGATCCCGGCATCCCCAGGACGCCCCCGACGAGGCACAGCCGATTCGGCTGCGCGCAAACGTGACCCTTCGCCGGAGCGACCT